GTCCAGGTCTGGTCCTGAGTCTGCCCCCTGTTCGTGTCGCCGTCCTCTAGCACCACCGCCTTGGCCACCCCTATCTGCTTCGGCTCAGAGGCATGGCCTCCCGTCTTCTTGTGTCTGGTCTCCCCCGGTCCCTCCCTCCCCTTCCTCAGGGCCCTGGCCCTGCCTGTGTCCCCTGTGTCGAGGGGCGCCAGCGTGCTGCCCCTCACTCCTCCCAGTTTCCTCCGACAGAGGCTCCGTTGTTGACGCTTCACATGGACGTGTGGGGCCCTGCCCGCGTCCGTGGACTCGGTCACGAGCGCTACTTCCTGTTGGTGGTTGACGACTACTCGCATTACACCACAGTCTTCCCCTTGCGCAGCAAGGTTGATGTCACTGAGGTGCTGATCGACTGGATCCGCGCAGCTCGTCTCCAGCTCAGGCAGAGCTTTGGCTCGGACTTTCCGGTCTTGCGTCTGCACTCGGACAGAGGCGGAGAGTTCTCCTCTGGCCTTCTGCGTGCCTACTGTCGTGCGCGAGGCATCCGCCAGTCCTTCACGCTTCCGGACTCACCGCAGCAAAATGGGATTGCAGTGCGCCGCATTGGCATGGTCATGGACGTCGCTCGTACGTCTATGATGCATGCGGCTGCCCCCCATTTTCTGTGGCCGTTTGCGGTCAGGTACGCGGCGCATCAGATCAACCTCCACCCCAGGGTCTCCAGGCCGGAGACCTCCCCAGCCCTGCTGTGGACGGGGAAGGTTGGCGATGCGTCGACGTTCCGGGTCTGGGGATCTCGGGCGTTTGTCCGCGACCTGTCTGCGGACAAGCTGTCCCCTCGCGCTGCTCCCTGCGTCTTCCTGGGGTTCCCCCCCGACGCCCCTGGGTGGCAGTTCTACCACCCCACCTCTCGACGTGTTCTGTCCTCCCAGGACGTCACGTTCGACGAGTCGGTACCCTACTACCGCCTCTTCCCCTACCGCACTCCGTCCCTCCCCCCGCCCCCGCTCTTCTTGGTACCAGGTCCCCCCCCGGTAGACCCCCTCCCCCCTCAGGGTCCTGCCCCTTCAGGTGTGTCCCAGGTAGACGCGGTCGAGCCTGTCGAGGTCACTGGTGACTCTGGTGCTGCTGCGGGAGCTGAGCCTGGGGGTGCTGAGCCTGGAGGTGCTACACTTGGGGGTGCGGAGTCTGGGGGTGCTGAGCCTGGGGGTGCTGAGCCTGGGGGTACTGAGTCTGGGGGTGCTGAGCCTGGGGGTGCTGGGCCTGGGGGTGCTGAGACTGGGGGTGCTGAGCCTGGGGGTGCTGAGACTGGGGGTGCTGAGACTGGGGGTGCTCCGCCTGGAGGTACTTCGTCTCGCCGAGAGCCACTCTCCCCACAGGAGCTGCGTGAGTGGTTTGCCCGACGCTGGAGGCGTGCTGCTGGTGCTGAAGGTTCTTCGGCTGCAGAGGGTGCTGCTGCCGAGCGTCCCGGAGGTGCTCGTACTGTGGGTGCTGGAGCTGCTGGGTCTGCGGGTTCTCCTGGAGCTGGTACCGCTGAGGGAGTTGGCGCTGAGAGTACCGCTGGCGGTCCGACTGGCAGTGCTCCTGGTGGTGCTGCTGGAGGTTCTGGAGCTACTGGAGGTGCTGTTGGAGGTGCTGCTGGAGTGGGTACTCCTACTGGGGGTACTGGTGCTGTCCCTGCTGTTTCTGGCGTAGCCACGCGGCCCCGACCGTACTTCGTTCCGCTCCTGCAGCAGGTTCTTGGTCTTACACCTTCTCCTGGTCCTCCTCTTCCTCCCTTAGAGGGTCCACAGCCTGTCTCGTCACAGTCCCAGCTACAGCCTGCCTCCCCTTTGCCTGCTCCTTCTCCCTACGCTGGTCCGACTGGAGGTCTTACTGAGCGTCGTGAGCCTGCGTCTCGTCCTGCGTCGCCTGTTCGTACTGCGCGCACTAGTGGTCGCGGTTCTCGTCAGCGTCCTCCTCCTGTCCCTGGCACGCACCGGATGTCTCTGCGTCCGTCCACTGCTCCTCTGCGTGCCCCTTTGCCTTCTCCTCCTGCTTCCTCTCTTCCTGCTCTTGCCGACCCGGAGTCGGACTCTCTTCGTGCTGCCAGTCCTACTGTCACGCGTCTCCTTGCTACTGCTGTCACTTACCCTTCTTTCGAGTCTTCTGCTGCGTCTGCCCTTGTCACTGAGCTCGTCGACTTTGCTGCGCGCTGTCGTCTAGACTACGCTGCTAGTCTTGTCGCTGAGTCTGAGTCTGCCTGTCCTCCGTCCGTCGGGGGTGAGTGTGCCCTTGGCACGGACGTCCTTGAGGACAGGCAGGAGGAGTTCCAGTGTCTGGCCGCCGCTTCACCTCATCTCGCGTCTGTACTGCTAGCCCCTGAGGGAGACCCGGATGCACTTGACATCCCGACTCCGCGCTCTTACGCGGAGGCGATAGAGGGTCCCTACTCCTCTCAGTGGCAGGCAGCTATGGATGAAGAGATGGCTTCCTGGAAGTCCACAGGCACCTACGTTGACGCTGTTCCCCCTCCTGGGGCAAACATAGTCAGTGGCATGTGGATCTTCAGGGTGAAGCGGCCACCGGGTTCTCCGCCTGTCTTCAAGGCGCGTTACGTGGCTCGTGGCTTCAGTCAGCGGCAGGGGGTTGACTACTTTCAGACCTTCTCCCCCACCCTGAAGATGACCACTCTTCGGGTACTGCTGCATGTTGCTGCTCACCGTGACTACGAGCTGCACTCTCTCGACTTCAGCACTGCTTTCTTGCAGGGCAGCCTGCACGAGGAGATCTGGCTGCGTCGCCCACCTGGCTTCACTGGGTCTTTCCCTCCTGGTACCCAGTGGAGTCTCCGGCGTCCAGTCTACGGTCTCCGCCAGGCGCCACGTGAGTGGCACGACACACTGAGGACTACGCTGGCGGCACTTGGGTTTGCTCCTTCTACTGCCGACCCGTCGCTGTTTCTTCGCACCGACACCTCTCTGCCGCCGTTCTACATCCTCGTGTACGTCGACGACTTGGTCTTTGCCACAGCTGACACTGCTGGACTCGCCTACGTGAAGTCTGAGCTGCAGAAGAGACACACGTGCACTGACCTGGGTGAACTGCGCAGCTACCTTGGCTTGCAGATCACCCGGGACAGAGCACGCCGCACCATTACCCTGACTCAGTCACACATGGTGCAGCAGGTCCTTCAGCGCTTCGGCTTCACGTACTCCTCGCCCCAGGCCACTCCTCTGCCTACTCGCCACTCGCTCTCAGCTCTGCCTTCGGATGAGTCCGTAGAGTCGAGTGGCCCGTATGCAGAGCTTGTTGGCTGCCTCATGTACCTGATGACCTGCACACGACCTGACCTTGCATACCCTCTTAGCATTCTCGCACGCTATGTTGCTCCTGGGAGACACCGACCAGAGCACATGGCTGCAGCGAAGAGGGTGTTGCGCTACTTGTGCAGTACGTCGGGCATGGGGCTAGTGCTTGGAGGGCGCAGTCCAGTGGTCCTCACTGGGCACGCGGACGCTTCTTGGGCTGACGACCAGGCTACGCAGCGGTCGTCACAGGGTTACACCTTCAGCCTTGGTTCCGGCTCTGTTTCGTGGCGGGCTACCCGCTCGTCTTCTGTTCTCGGCTCCAGTTGTGAGGCTGAGATCTACGCCGGGGCTATGGCTGCACAGGAGTTACGCTGGCTCACCTACCTGCTGTCCGACCTTGGAGAGCCGCCTCGTTCTCCTCCAGTTCTGTACGTAGACAACAAGGCCATGCTGGCCTTGTGTCGAGAGCAGCGACTGGAGCACAGGACAAAGCACATTGCTCTCCGCTACTTTCTTGCTCGTGAGCTACAGCAGCGTGGACAGTTGCGACTTGCGTACGTGACCTCTGAGGCCAACACTGCTGATGTCTTCACCAAGGCACTTGCGCCTTGTGATCATCAGCGTTGTTGCATGCAGCTGGGTCTTGTGCCTGTCTTGCCTCACTTGCTCACTTCTTGACTTTGCTTGTACCTTCACCTATATATACTCTTGCTCTTACTTGCTTGACTCTTGTATATCTTTATATATGATCTTGCATGTGAACTGGCCTTGTGGCCCTTGAACTTGTGCTCGGAATGTGTGGTGACTTTGTGATCCACCCTGAGCTTTGCTTTGCTTTGCTTGACTGGTCTTGTGACCCCTTGTTCTCCCCCACTTTGCCTATGGGGGTGTGTCAGAACATTATAGCTTACTCTTTTCTGTAGGCTATAGTGGGGTATCCCATAGGGGGTACAACCCAATTAGGGTTTCATATTTGTACTCACTTCATTTCAAAGTGCATCCCATTCTCGTTCAGTTTTCCACACCTACCACCTGCTGTTTAGTCTAGCCAGGTTGGTTCTGTTGCTTGGAATTATTTGGGATCATCCCTGGTTGTTCCCACGTTTATTCCCAAGGTCCTTGCTAGCTAGAACTACTTATTCCTTCTCTGTTTGTACCTGGATATACTCAATTTGATTCAAGGGAATTCCTCCCTTCCTGGAATTTCGTTTCTACGCGGTGCAATGGCGGAATGCTACTCGAGTCAACGCTAGTACGCTAGCACTCCAACACTAGGCAAACGTTGTCCGAGCCATAACTTCGTAATGGCAGAACCGGTTCCACGCCCTTATTCTGGTTGAATCGAAGCCGGACTTTCGTTATGGCATATTTCGCAAGGTTGGTGAAGATAGATTCAATGCAGCCATGTCATACCAAATGTCTGCTAGCAAAATAATTCAGCTAAAAAAAACCATTAATTTTACAATATAACAATGCATTTTCCAAATCAGTGTCGGATGCTTTACCGGTATGTCCTACCGTAAGCTCCCGGATAATAGACCCCCCGGAATATAAGACCCCCGGGTCTGTATTACGGGGGTGGGTCTTTTATTTTGGCAGGTTTTCACTATACCCCCCCCTAGAGGGGTAAACATTACTAGACCCCCTTCATGGTTGTCACCAGTTTATAATGGAAATAAGATGTCTTTTCAAGTGCTTCACTAGCAAGAAAAGCTTGACACCAATGCAACCTATTCACGGTTTGCATTTCAGAGATTTAGGGGGCAACAAGGGGTGAGAACAACATAAAAATAGTCCCTCATCCTCGCCTGCAACCCACTCCTCCACTTCCTCTCCCTCATAGCGGCCTGCTGCCCACCAGTCGTCTCCATCCTCACTCCACTCATCCGCACCTCCCATCTCTGCATCTGCCTCATCCCCCTCCTCCTCCGGAGCCATCACATCCCCTTCCTCGGCAACAGCATCCACCACATCCTCCTCCCCTGCAAGCCCTTCCTCCTCGTCCTCTGCCTCATCGTCCTTGGTAGCGGCGGGCTCAGGGGCGTGCGAGGGGTCTTCGTAGAACGGGTTGGGGTTCACCCCGTCCTCCCCCTCGTCCAGCACATCCTCCAGCACCTCCACTTCCGCCTTGTCCCGCAGGTGAGCCAGGATCAGATGATCCTCGCTCCCGTCTTCGGCACTGGAGATGCCGCAGGTGAGGAAAGCTTTCTTCACCAGCTCCTCTGGCACATCAGCCCATGACTCAACGATCCACTTCAGAATCACTTCAGGGGGGGGCTTCTTCAAGTTCCCTGGAGTTCACAAGAAGAATGCACAGCAGAGATGTAAAGGCAGTGGAGTTAATGCTGACTAGTCATCTTAAAGCTCACAAATCGACCACGACTCACCTACACGTGTCGTTTGGCCGATCCCGACCTCCTCAAACCACGTGCTGTAGCGGTGGCGAACACCGCACTTGAAACTGCGGTTGATGGAGACGTCAAGCGGTTGCACCAGGGGGGTGCAACCGCCAGGGATGACGGCACGCGTCACCTTAAACATCTTCAGAGTTTGCCCCACAGATTCCGTCAGGTGCCCCTTGTACGAGTCGAAGACAAGGAGCGCTTGCTTGCGCCGCCCGCCCTCGTCCCGCAACGGCTTCAGGAAGGGGACGAGCACCTGTGTTGTCCAATCCTGGACAAGGCGCTCGTCCATCCAACCCTTCTCTTGGGCGCGGATGACGATACCTGCACACGCCACAACTGGAAATCAGTAATGGAGAAACAAGAGGAACAGAAGGAATCAACGACAGAAACACATCGGGCTCACCTGGTGGCACCACGATTCGTGGCACCGTCTTCCGCTTGAAGATGACATACGGGGGAAGCTTCAGGCCGTCAGCCGTCACTGCCAACATGACAGTGACACGCTCCTTCTCGTACCCCGCCGTCCTGACATGCACCATGCGGGCGCCTTTCATTTCGAGGGTGCGTTCTGCCGGCATCTCCAACCAGAGCGGGGTCTGGTCAGCGTTCACGATGAGGTTGAGGGGAAAGCGATGAACCATGCGCATCTGGCGGACGAATTCCCAGAAGGACTCCACCTTTCCCTTGCAATCTGTTAAACACACAACGACACATGTGTTAGATAGCATTTTACGTAAACCGTTACGGCAAGGGGGGGTGACATGCAACTTGCTCACCGGCGGCTAGTTTTTGCCCCATCTTTGTCTTCACGCGTTGCGCTAATGACCACCGCACGCGGTAGCGAAAGGTCCAACGTGCCGATGCGCGAAAATCGGCGGTAGGCTGACGGTGCTTCATGTACTGAGTTGCCCATTTGCGGAGAAGGCTCACCGACACTGCCAATCCTTTGGCACGGTGCGCCAAGAATTGGCGGTAAACCGCTTTCTCCATCAGGGGCCACTTCGCCCTACGCCCTCCACCGTTAAGACGTCGGCGACAACCAGCGGCGACCTCGAGACGCTCCTTGAGTCGCCTCCACTCGCGGATTTGCTTGGGCTGCACCTTGGCAAGCTTCACCAAGCCACGGATGCTGAGGTCAGGCTGTGACTCCAACATGGCCAGCCAGTGCAATTTCTCCTTGGCGGTGAACGCGTTACGAGAGCGTTTCGTCATCCTATGACGAGGGGAAGGAGGCGCAGCATCTAGAATCCTTCGTTTCATGCCTTGCGGGCGACTAGACTCCGGAAAAGTAGGGATCACGACTCTAGGAAGCGGCGGTCGGCGAATGCCATGGGAACTGTCGCTAGGATCGCTGGAGGAAGGTGAAGTTGTTGGCAAAACGGGCCGGGGTGAAACTCGTACTTGCGATGCTCGATTAACGTTAGTGGGACGAGGGCGCCTTGCGTGCGACATCCCTGAATCTGGAGACGTCACCATCGTGAATGATAGCTTACACCTCTAGCTACTGCTCGAAGTACTTCCTCCAGCCATCTTAAGACGACCATCCTAGAGCTACGGGCCCTAAGCGCACCACTCTGCCGAGCAGAAATCAGTTTCGTGCGTGGATGAAGAAACAGGCGGAGGAGAAGGATTGTGATGGGTGAAAGGATTGACGTGCCTCCCGTTGAACAGTAGGGGTTGCTGCACGGGCCATCGTGCAGCCCCTGCGCTCGAGCCGTGCATGTGTCAGGGTGTCGAGGTGGGATGGCACGCTGACGAGCCACAAAGCGAATCTCAATGCTGGAATGTGGTAACGTGCGATTTCGGCCAATGAGAAGGCCACAAGCTGATTCCCCTGTGTGATATGGCTACATCGCAGAAGTCGCACACATGTGCGGCCCAAACAACAGGGGAAAAAATGTCAAGCATCCTCATCAATGAGGCACTCGATTACACCTTTAAAAATCATATCAATTTAATAAGACCCGGGTACTAAACAATCTTGTGCCGTTGACAAGACCCCCCCTATTTTTTTATGAATTTTACACAAGACCCTAGGGTCTACTATCCGGGAGATTACGGTATGTCCTGGCAATGCAAGTATGTTCAACAAGGTTGTGGATAAAACCTGCCACGTTGTTTGTTATAACTTTGCACAATATTTTCATGCGAAGCAACTCGGGTCCTTCATATTTTGTACCCGTTGAAAAGGGACGCCTTCATTTGTAGAGTTTATATCACGCTAGGGTGTTATACCCGGGGAATTACAGTAAACATTCATGCCAAATACACATGGGTACCGTCATTATGGGCATTTTTAACGCCCTTTGGTTGGCTTCGAGTGCAGCCAGCTCTTGAGGCCATCACCTATCGAGCCAACGCGCACAAATGAACTCACACCAGACTGTGAACCATGCGGCCTCTCAGCCTCCCTCCTGCTGTCTCCAAATGATACAGCAAAAGCATCCCTAGTTTAACTACCCTTGTTGCTTTCACTCTCTTCTTCTGTGGCACTCTCCCACTCATCCTCCTTGTCGGGGCAGTGCTTGGCAATGAGGGCACTGAGGCGGTATGCCATGTCAAGAATAATATATATTTCTATATATTGTTTTTGTAACTGCCTGTAGTGTAGACTAGTGTAGTTATATAATGTTCTGTTTTGGTGGTGCACCTTTCATTCTGCCTATATGTACTGCTCGCTCTATAGTGAAAACCCTTCTTCTCTTTTCACTTTCTCGACTCTAACTTAACTCACTCGAACTCAACTAGCTATGGCTCCTTAGCCTAGCTCAAGTTTTCACATGCCACATCCTTCATAGTGGGTCGCCGTGTGCCAGGAGACTTGATGCAGTCCAGAGCCAGGTCTGCAAGTTCCACTATAGCCTCTTCACTTGCCGCCGGCATCTTGCTGTCCCTCAGCTCTTCTAGCTCATATGTCTCCACCAGCTTCATAGCCTGGAAGGAGTTTATAAAAGAAAGGGTGATGGAAAGCAGCATGCTAAGTATGGAAGACGGTGGAAGGCAGCAAGATGACAAAAACATTACTGTACAAATGAGTGGTAGCACAAAAGTGAATTACGGATAAATGAGTGGCCATTAGATCCATTTGAGATTCGATGGACATTAACATTATCTTAAATGCACTATTTTTATTTGTTTTTTAGCAAACTCAAATCATGGATAACACACTTACCCATTTGCATATGTGCGTTCTTGTGTTAACTTGGGGCGACTTTCCACTCAGCAGCTCAAGAAGCACGACTCCAAAGCTGCAAGCAATCATGCATTTAATATAAGAGGGAAAAAGATGGAGAAAAAAAGAGAGAGAGGTACAGGGTACATGTATTTAGCATAACCTGGATATTAAGAGAAACAGGGGCGCAGAAGTGTAACGTGTTGTGGAAAGGAACAAGCATACTGACCTGAACACGTCACTCTTGGCTGTGATGACATTGGTGCGGTTGTAATCCGGATCCACATAGCCCGGAGTGCCAGCAACTCGCGTGGCATCAGCATCGCCGTGAGTGAGGCGCTTGAGCAGCCCAAAGTCAGCCACCTTGGCTTGCATGTCTTCAGTCACAAGAATGTTGGCGGGCTTGATGTCGCGGTGAACGATGGGCGTGTCAAACCCGTGCAGGTACGCCAAGCCCTCTGCTGCTCCCAGTGCCAGGCGCAGCCTCTGGCGTAGAGACAGCGCACCTGGGCCATGCAACGAGTATACCATGTAGTGAGAAAAACAAACAACATATGGATGATAGGTTTGTGAGTGATGGTGTCATGCTGTGCAAGAAAATTAATAATAATGTAAACAAAAGGCGCGTGGCAACCATAGTGCAAACTCACGCTTGGTCTTGTGGATATGGTACTCCATGTCCCTATTGCCTATGAAATCGTACACGAGGATCTGCTCCTGCTTGCCTGTCTCCACGTTCTGGTCCAGGCAAAAGCCCAGCAGGCGCACGAGGTGTGTGTGGTGGAGAGAGGCCATGGCTCGCACCTGTAGTGAGAACACAAGACAGGCAATGACGCACATGGCCATGGAATGGCGGGCATTCAGTTCGCAGGTCAGCAGTTGTCACATGAACATGGATCACAATGCAGGGGGATGTGCATGGATTTAAGCTGGAGGTCAGCATTTTGAAGAACACAATGTGGCCCCGAATTAGAATGTTAGCATTCTGAGCAACAAAAAATATTCCTAGAATCTAAATCACTACACCACTGGGATAAAAGCGTTTTTTAAGTAGTGAGCGCGTCCATTATCCCCTAGGCAAGCGTGCTTGTAACCATTTCTCAGTATCAATCGGGGGATCCCCAGTGCACGTCTACTGGCACCCCCCCCCAACCCCTCACCCCTCACTGGGATGACTTAGGACACGGTACAGTGGCAACAACACATGGGCGCCAGTATGTGCGCATATGAAGTTTCAAATCGGAAACCTTTGCTCTGTTATCGCGTCAGGATTAAGCTACTGCACAACTAGGATGGAATGGTTGTTAAGGAGCGGGTGAGTGCATCCATAAACCCCATGCAAGAGTGCTTGTAAACCTTCCCTGGGATCAATCGAGGATTCACAGTGCATGTGTTCTGACAAGTACTGATTTTTTTGTCCTCACCTCCGTTTCGAAGTCGTTGGTCATGATGGTGGATCGCTTGATGGCCCACAGCTGGCCCTGTGGAGAGCGGCCTTTGTATACAATGCCAAAGCCACCCTTGCCCAGCACATTGTCCTCCGACCAGTTGTTGGTGGCCCTTAGCATCTGCTGCAGCGAGAATTGCTCGCACACATCCAGCCCCTCCCACTTCTCTGCGCACAGAAAAATTCCAGACTAGAGGTGTGAGGGACTAAAGGTGTAGATGCGTGGACAGAGCATGAGAAAAGAGTGGAGGCGAGCATGAGGGCAGAGTAGAGGCGAGCATGAGGGCAGAGTAGAGGCGAGCACGAGGGCAGAGTAGAGGCGAGCATGAGGGCCAGAGTAGAGACGAGCATGAGGGCAGAGTAGAGGCGAGCATGAGGGCAGAGTAGAGACAAACATGAGGGCAGAGTAGAGGCGAGCATGAGGGCAGAGTACAGGCGAGCATGAGAAAATAATACAGGCGAGCATGAGGGCAGAGTAGAGGCGAGCATGAGGGCAGAGTACAGGCGAGCATGAGGGCAGAGTAGAGGCGAGCATGAGGGCAGAGTAGAGGCGAGCATGAGGGCAGAGTAGAGGCGAGCATGAGGGCAGAGTAGAGGCGAGCATGAGAAAATAATACAGGCGAGCATGAGGGCAGAGTAGAGGCGAGCATGAGGGCAGAGTAGAGGTGAGCATGAGGGCAGAGTAGAGGCGAGCATGAGGGCAGAGTAGAGGCGAGCATGAGGGCAGAGTACAGTCGAGCATGAGGGCAGAGTAGAGGCGAGCATGAGGGCAGAGTAGAGGCGAGCATGAGGGCAGAGTACAGGCGAGCATGAGGGCAGAGTAGAGGCGAGCATGAGGGCAGAGTAGAGGCGAGCATGAGGGCAGAGTAGAGGCGAGCATGAGAAAATAATACAAGCGAGCATGAGGGCAGAGTAGAGGCGAGCATGAGGGCAGAGTAGAGGCGAGCATGAGGGCAGAGTACAGGCGAGCATGAGGGCAGAGTAGAGGCGAGCATGAGGGCAGAGTAGAGGCGAGCATGAGAAAATAATACAGGCGAGCATGAGGGCAGAGTAGAGGCGAGCATGAGGGCAGAGTAGAGGCGAGCATGAGGGCAGAGTAGAGGCGAGCATGAGGGCAGAGTAGAGGCGAGCATGAGGGCAGAGTAGAGGTGAGCATGAGGGCAGAGTAGAGGCGAGCATGAGAGCAGAGTAGAGGCGAGCATGAGGGCAGAGTACAGTCGAGCATGAGGGCAGAGTAGAGGCGAGCATGAGGGCAGAGTAGAGGCGAGCATGAGGGCAGAGTACAGGCGAGCATGAGGGCAGAGTAGAGGCGAGCATGAGGGCAGAGTAGAGGCAAGCATGAGGGCAGAGTAGAGGCGAGCATGAGGGCAGAGTAGAGGCGAGCATGAGGGCAGAGTACAGGCGAGCATGAGGGCAGAGTAGAGGCGAGCATGAGGGCAGAGTAGAGGCGAGCATGAGGGCAGAGTAGAGGCGAGCATGAGGGCAGAGTAGAGGCGAGCATGAGAAAATAATACAAGCGAGCATGAGGGCAGAGTAGAGGCGAGCATGAGGGCAGAGTACAGGCGAGCATGAGGGCAGAGTACAGGCGAGCAT